AGCTCCCGCCGCTCAGCTGGGGGAAAATGGTGCCTATGGGGAAAAATCGCAAAGATCGTAGTGCAATCGCAAAAGCGATGGCAAAAAAGCCATCGCTATGCGATTTCTTCGTTAAACGGGTCGCTCGTTATACGAGGCACTACTGTATAGTATTTCTAGACCTCAAAGGATTCAAGTCACAGTGTAAGTTAAATGCCGATCCACATTCCCTCTCCTCCAATCCCTTTGGTCTATTTTTGTCCTTCCATATCTTAAGAATATTCCTGTCTCAGCGGTTGTACTTGTAGCACAAAATCATGAGCTGTAGAAGAGATGGAAATGTGGCTCTATTGCAGAGTGCTATGAATTTCTGAGTTCAAGAGCATGATTAATGAAGTACTAAGAAGAATATATGAAGTAATAATAATACTTCATATTATTGCATAGAATAATATTGCTTCATATTACTGCATAGAATGCAGTAAGCTAGAATATTTTGATCATATATGAGAAACAAAAAAATACATTGTTACAGCTGAGCATTTGAGGCAAAATAATGGGATATGAAGTGCAGAAAGAGCAGAATTTACTGGCTGAAAAATTTTGGAGTCTGGTTTGAATGCAATACAGCATTGTTGTTCACTCCCAAATGGAGAATAGTCATGATTGTGTTTAGTCTCGAGTGTGAGAGAAATGAGAAGGAGGAGAGCTGTTGGTTGTTCTTTACATACTGGAGAAGGTTTTGTTTCCCAGTTGTGCCTTCCTATATATTTGGTTATTACAATTTCTTCCGTTATTTCCACCATATATGTTTTGTAATTGTTGTGAATCTGTACTGTTCATGATGGCTCTATATTACCTTCAGGGTCAGAGGCCACATGCCCTGAGGAACAGGGTGAGAGAGTTATTGCCCTGATGCCCTGTCTGTAGGCTTCTAACATGCATTATGGTTGGCCACACCTGAGAAACATGCCCTTTTCTCTGATAGAGCAGGGGTGTTTTATGTATGTATGTATGTATGTATGTATGTATGTATGTATGTATGTATGTATGTATGTATGTATGTATGTATGTATGTATGTATGTATGTATGTATGTATGTATGTACAGTGATGCCCCACTAGACTCTTACCCCGTTAAACGACAAAATCGCTTGACGATGCCTTTTTTGCGATCACTGTAGCGGTCGCAAAACAGTGTTTCCTATGGGTTTTTTTCATTTAACGACTATTAGTTCCCTGCTTCGTGAACCGATTGTTCGCAAGACTATGAATTAAAACAGCTGATTGGCGGTTCGCAAAATGGCTCCCCGCTGTTTTCTGGACCTATTTCCGCAAGACAGGGATCGCAAAATGGCTGCCCTATGGAGGATCTTCGCTGCACGAGCAGGTATTTTCCCCATTGGAACGCATTAACTGGTTTTCAATGCATTCCAATGGGGTTTTTATTTTCGCGTGATGACGATTTCGCTGTACAGCAATTTTAACAGAACACATTATCGTCGTCATGCGGGGCACCACTGGGTACATACAGTATGTATGTATGTAAAAATTAAGTAGGTTCAAAGTCAGCTGAATATGGACACGCTGCAGAAGTGAGCAATGCAGTGCACAACACAAAGCACAACAACACATATATGCAACACATATATCGCAAAGCACAACAACACACATATGTGTGTGTGTGTGTGCTTTGCACAACAACTCACTTCTGCAGCATGTCCATATTCAGCTAACTTTGGACCTAGTTAATTTTTTTTTCAGAACATTCCCTCTTGCTACAGATTTGATAGCTAGTTAATCTATCATTTTTCTGTGCATTTTCAGAAGCAGATTTTGAGTAGACTAGGTTAGGTATTTTGATAATACAGTGGTGCCTCGCTTAACGACGATAATCCGTTCCAGGAAAATCGCAGGTAAGCGAAAACATCGTAAAACGAAATTTAAAACCCCATTGAAACGCATTGAAACCCGTTCAGTGCGTTCCAATGGGGTAAAAACTCACCTTCCAGTGAAGATCCTCCATACGGCGGCCATTTTCACTGCCTGTATAGCGAGGAATCTGTTCCTAAACACAGCGGGGAGCCATTTTAAGCACCTGGTGGCCATTTTGAAAACCCAACGATGAGCTGTTTTTGATTGTCCTAAAGCGAAAATCGGTTCCTAAAGCAGGGAACCGATCATCGCTAAGTGAAATTCCCCCATTTAGACCATTGTTTTGCGATCACAAAAGATCGTCGTAAAGCGGATTTGTTGTTAAGCAGGGCACGACTGTATTGGCATCTTTTTCACTGGAAGGAAGAGAGAGCATACAAGTGGCTAAAAGACTGGGTCTGAATGAAATAAAAATTTAATATTTAGTCTAACTGAAAACAAGTTGGAATCACATTGCTAGATTCGGCATTTCGCAAATAATAACAAATTTCAGTTGATTTTGAACTTGGAACAAAACTTTTTCTGATCCTGGTAACAGATTTATTTAAGAGAGATTTTTTAAAAGTTGCAAGCTGCTGATGAAAAATTGACACCTGGGTGATACAATGACTAAACTTTCTCTTGTCCTACTTCATAGCCAGTATCTCTGGTGTCCAGTCATACTCACACGTAAAAACATAATTTGCCAAGTGCAAAGTGTTTTTGACATCTCTTACAACCCCACCAGCTACTTTCTGAAAGAGAAATGTGGAACAGGGAAGCTTGGTTGATGTGATTAATGCTTGTGTTGGCTGAATCATATGCAGATAAAGACAACACTTTCTTACACAATTCTATTTCCTGTGCTGGTTCTATATTTATTTCTCCCATGCTTCCTTACACTCTTTAAGGCCTCTTTGTCCCCTACTGCTATAAGAAGGGGAAATTGAACTGTGGTCATTTCAATTGCTGGCAGTAGTACAAAATCAACAAACACCAATTGAGAGGAAAATTATCTTCTTTTTTAGCCATATTATTCTTCTGTAGGGTTAACATTCAGTGCCCTGTTTCTCCTAAAATAAGACCTAACCTGAAAATAAGCCCTAGTATGCTTTTTCAGAATGCTCGTAATATAAGCCCTACCCCCCCAAAAAAGCCCCAGTTAAGTGAAACCCCACCCTCCACCATTGTGCAGTAACCAGAAGAAGATAACATAACTGTATTTGAATAAATGTTGATTGTTGTAAATGAAAAAAAATCAAACATCCCCTGAAAATAAGCCCTAATGTGTTTTTGGAGCAAATTATATAAGACCCTGTCTTATTTTCGGGGAAACAGGGTGATTAGTTTTAGACAGTAAGAAATGTGACTAATGTAAGGACACATGTACCATTTTTAGAGTGGTGGAGCAAATTCGAAAGCATTTTCAGTATGTTCAACACAAACATTGTAACGTAGCAGGCCACTCTGATGTCACTGCTAACTCAGGCTTCTCAGAATGCCCACCACACTACTTCACACTCGCTGCCACCAATTGTAATGACTATTTAAGAAGGACAAAGGTTTCCTTCAAAACAAAACAGATTTATTGAAATAAAAAAATAAAATATGTAAATCACAATTAGCTAATCAAGATGTCAATCACTGTATCTTATGTAATCAAACACAGACTTCCCTCACTGAACACTTAGGCATGCAGGCCTCTAAACAAGCTCTTTCTCTCTCACACTCCAGATCTGATCTTTCACACTCTCTTCACACCCCTTTTTCTTCCCGCTCCTCCCTCTTCAGCCCCACCCTCCGTCACCCCATTGGCTGATGATTCACTGCCCAGCATTTCCCTTCTTTGGCTGAAAACCTGGTTGGTTCTTCAACTATATAGTGTGTTGCTTTGAACATGGTAGGGAGGATACCTATATGGATAATTTCTATGATTTTGTTACACACCTGTTTTCCCTTTGCCCCACCCCATCCAGCCCTGGTCAGTGGAGAAGTTCTGCTACTTCAGAAGTTCTTCTACATGTTCTTTAATTGACTGACAGCTAATTCATGAAGAAAGGCAGACTTGACTGTTGAGATCTGTTAAAAATTGTTCTACAGTGGTGCCCCACATAGCGAGGTTAATCCGTTCCGGATTAACCTTCGCTATGGGGAAACATCGCTATACAGAATGGGAAAACCCATTAAACGAAGTTTAATGTGTTCCAAATGGGCACAAAACTCACCATTCTGCAATGTTTCCCCATAGCTGCATCCATTTTCGCGCCCTTGGTAAGCAAGGGCAGGGCGCAAAAACGCTGCGCGTGGCCATTTTGGGTTGGCCGGCGGCCATTTTGGAACCGCCGAACAGCTGGTTCCCCGGCATTGCAATGCAAAAATCGGTAAGCGAAACGCTTACCGATCTTCGCAATGCGAGTTTTGCCCATTGGAACCATCGGTATGTCTTCGCAATAGCGATCCAAAAAAAACCCGGATCGCTATGCGAATTCGTCGTTATACGGTGCGCTCGTTAAGCAAGGCACCACTGTACTTGAAATCATTGCAAATCAGATCATGGGGAACAGTTATGAAAATGCTATCCAGATAGCTCAGTGGTTTAGGTCTCTGGCTACAGAGCCAGAGGTTGGGCGTTCAGTTCCCTACTGTGTCTTTTTGACCAAAATTGGAGTTGATGATCCATAGGGTCCCTTCCAGCACTGCAGTTCTAAATTCTAAATAAACAATTGTTTTGTGACTGCTTGCCCTGCCCTGCACAAATTCTCTTGGTTGTACCAGCAAGTGTTAACACAAATGGCATAAGTTTTGGAAGCAAATTGTGTGAAGTTAAGGCAACATTGATATTATCTTTTATACACTGAGCCATGTGATTCAGCAAACAACAGATAACATCTATGTTGACTTCTTAATTTGAGACAGTTCACCTACCAAAAATGTGCCATGTGTATTAAAGTGGTATAAAATTGCAGGAGGTTTTTTGCCTTATTGAATGAAGAAATGTATATCTCAGCTATGTCCTATTCACGTGAATCCATAGACTGGAGAGTGCTGTAGTCAGAAGCTTTCTCTCTCTCTCTCTCTCTCTCTCTCTCTGTGTATGTATGTATGTATGTATGTATGTATGTATGTATGTATGTATGTATGTATGTATGTATGTATGTATGTATGTATGTCCTTGCTACATAAAAGGGATCCAAGGCAGCTTGCATCAGTAAAAAGACAATGTTCAAAAGCTAAAACATGTATATATAGAGAGAAATATTTAAAAAAGAATTAAACCAGTATTATATTTAAAATGATAAATGAAATCTATATTAAAATGGATTTAAAACAACAGAGCACAACAATCCATTAAAAAAAACCCCTCAGACCACCAGTCATTAAGGAAAAGCCTGGCTGAAGAGAAAGGTCTTTGCTTGCCTGCTGAAGGACAGCAAAGATGGGGCCAAGCTAGCTTCCCGTGGGAGCGAGTTCCAAAGTCTGGGAGCAGCGACAGAAAAGGCCCCCTCTCGTGTGCCCACCAAGTGCACCTATGAGGATGGTGGAACTGAGAGAAGGGCCTCTTCTTAATGCCTGGGCAGGCTTATAGGGAGATGTCTTTTAGATAGCCTGGACCCAATATGGTCATATGGCTTTTCTTGTGAAAGAATGAGCTATGGCCTCGTTTGCAATGTAGTGGGCTGGAGTGTCTTTCCTCTACAAGTGGAATGAATCATGAAGAAGAATGTTTTGATCTGAGATTTGGCAGCAGTCCTTTCTGTCAAGTGGACATGATTTGCCAGCACATCTCCTTGTCACGGAGACCTCCAGTGTACAGCAGTCATGAGTTTTTTTCCAGCCATTGCTTTACCAGCAACATTTCCTCCAAGTTGCGGACGCGCAGAACTCCATTGGGATTGCACACTAGGAGCCAGTGTTCTCACCCATTTAATCCCAGTTTCGTCTGGAACCCCACCCCCGCAATCATGCATTATGTGCAGCAGGGCTGAAAATTAGAGGGAGCATTGTTTACCACAGCATATGGTTATGTTGCTTATGTTTAAGTATTACACATATTATTCTGTACTTGTGATGGCTTTTATTTGTATAATAACTGTGTAGAACCTCCCATAGCCAAGAAATCTGCCAGGGCAAGAATCATCTGAAGGAATTGATTAAAACCATAGCAACCTGAACCTGTAATTTGAAATACGGTATAGACTGTTTCTCCTAATTGAATGAACACATACATATTTTCTAGGTGCATTTCAAAGTGTTGGTTAAGACCTATAAAGCCATATGTGATATGGGCCCAGGATATCTGAAATACTCTGTTCTCTCACACAAGCCTGCCTGGGCTTGCTGGAGGGGCCCTTCTTGTAGCCTAACATCTTCAAAGGCCTATAATGAGGATTTGAGACAGAACCTAACCCCTGGAACTCTTTGCCTAGAGAAACTAGGTTTGTTCCTTCTTTTCCTCCTGCCAGCAGGCAAAGACCTTTGTACTTAGATAGGCCTTTGGCAATTATGTCACTCAGTTTCACAGTGATACTTGACTACTGTGTTGTATTTTCTCTTTTCTGTTTCTAGTGAAAACAAGTGCAGGAGATATGCTTGGGATTTATACTTGTTCTGCAAGGGAGCATATCAGATTTCATTTTGGTTCCTTACTGCTGAAATGAGTTGTTAATGTTACAAGCTGGCAGATGGAATGTCTGACAGGTTGCTTGCTAAAGCAGGGTATTGTTGTGTTTTAAAAACTCCTAGTATAAGTGACTGCTCTGTTCAGTGGTTGTGTTGGCTGATGGCTGCTGTTTCAGGAAGTCAGAGATAATTCTGTTTAAACAAATCAGACTTAATGTCATTAAGCTGTTTTATTCTGACCCTGTCAAGCAATATAGGAGCTTGCTTCCTTGATTCCTAATAATGTACTATCTGTTCTTACCTTTTCAGGAGATTTACAGAGCTTAAACACTACAGTGATGAGTTGCAGTCTGTTATATCACACCTTCTGAGAGTCAGAGCTGTAAGTATATTCATCCTTTTGGATTTTGATTAGAATAATCTGAATCACCATTTCTCAAAACTGCAGAAAAGACACCATCTATAGCAATGGTGGCAAACCTTTTTGGGTCCAAGTGCCCAAACTGGGTGGGGGCAGCTGGTAGTGGGCCGTGGTGATACACAAAGTAGTGGTGACGGAACTGGAAGTGGCGGTGGAAGGGAGAATCCTGGGCACAGAGGTGCCTCGAGATCCCACTCTGGATCCCCTGCCAGCGTCAGCCCACTGCCTGTTGAAGTGCCAGCACTGCAGCTGCAGCCGCCTCCTGAGGTTTGGCTGCAGGGGGGGAGGAGTAGCGATCTGGCGACTTGTGGCTCACATGCCTGCAGAAAGGGTTCTGCGTGCCAGCTGTGGCATACGTGCCATAGGTTCACCATCGCTGATCTATAACATAAATGTGTTTTGACTGTGGTGTTGTGTTTGGGAAGTAGTGAGATTTGTTTTATTTGGAATTTGCTTTTGCATCACAACAAAATACGTGAAATGATTGTGACAATTCTGAGGCATATTCACTATTTAAATATGATGCTAAAAAAGGAGAAGCGTAAAAACAAAAAATAGTGAAATTAAATTGATATGTGAGATGCAGTTTTCTGGAGGATGGTGGATGGTGAGGAAATTGTCTCTGAGCTCCTCTTGTGACCTTCAGTCCAGCCTCATATTTTCCTGTCAGTGCTCTCCATTGCATTGACATTGCCCTGGTGTATCAATACTACAACCATACATCCTTTATTTTTCTTCCATCTCTTCCAACGGTTTCCAGGTTATACAGTGAGTTAATGTATTCGTTCTGTTCTGTTCTTTTATTCATTTTATTTTATTTTTAAAAGTTTCCTTGCTGTGGAACTGGAGACACATTTGTGTGCTGTCAGGATAAACCTTTGCATTACATTCTGGATGAAGTGATGTTTCTGGCCTTTAGAGTGCCCCTGTATGCACTAGTGGGACCTGATGATGTGTGTTAAAAAATTGAAATATGAACTCAGATTGCATGACTCTGCATGTTGCCTTTACAGTGGTGCCTCGCTAAGCAACGTTAATCCGTTCCGGAAAAAAAGTCGCTAAGCGATTTTTAAAAGTCCATAGAAACGCATTAAAACTTGTTTAATGCGTTCCTATGGGCTTTAAAACTAACCTTATGCGAAGATCCTCCATTGCGGCGGCCATTTCCAGTGCCTCTAAAGTGAGGTAACATAGCGGGTGGCCATTTTGTTTTCTGGCGGCCATTTTGAAACCGCCGATCAGCTGGCCGAAAATGGGGGCTTTGCAGTGATCGCTTCCCCGCAATCATAGCAAAGCAATTTTTCCCCATAGGGGCCATCGCTAAGCGATCGCTCTGGTGATGGCCAAAACCCCATCGCTTAAGCGATTTCATCGCTCAATGGAGCGATCGCTAAGCGAGACACCACTGTATTTGTCTGAAGGTTATATATCATGGAGCTGGAAAGTAGCTTATATAACCTTCCCTTTTTTTCTTTTTTCTTTTTAAATGGCCCAAATTATTTTGAAAGTGAGTCAGATATCAGTGCCAGTGCATTCATAGAGTTATCAGACTGGTGTTTTGAAAAACAGTCTTCAGATCTGAATGTTTGGAGAACAGTGTGCATCTATTTGGCAGACAATATCATATTTCAGATCTAATATTGCCGGAATTTGAGGATATGGCGCATGCAGGTGATAATTCTTTTAAGATCTTCAATAAAAGTCCCTGTTAGGTTTTTAGACATAAATGAGCAGACATGTTGTAAATTTGTATCTGTAAAAGGACATGTTTTGATGGATGAAGATGTGGCTTAGAGCAATGAAGAAAAGGTAGTCGTGTCCAGTAAGCATTTTATTTTTTTGGGTAGGAAGCAAGCAGAGGAAAAGCAAATCTTATTTCATCCCCCACTGTTTTGTAATGTAAAATGTGCTTGCTTTCTGGGATGTTGCTCTAACTATAATCAAAGGTAGCTTTGTAGATTTGTCATGTGGTTTGATGTGCATTCCTTAGAAAGCTGAACATGAAGAATATGTCAAAGGAACTAACTGTTGCTCATACTTTTCTTAAAGAGAGTGGCAGATAGACTATATGGCGTTTATAAAGTCCATGGGAATTATGGAAGAGTTTTCAGGTAAGAGAAGACAAGACTTCTATATACAATATTGTCCTTTATTGTTATTTAATGCATTTTAGTCCATCTTCATCATTAACCACTGCGCCACGAGGCTCTATTTAATGCATTTTAGTCCATCTTCATAATTCAAATGGATGTTTCAAATGGCTGAAAACAGTGGGTAAAAAAAAACCAGTCAGTTCACAGAGACAGATGTAAAATGCAAAAAAAGCCAGTCCAAAACAGTCATAGATATGCCAGAGAGAAGTGTACGTTTTGAGCTGTTTTACAAGAGAAAAGGGACTTAGAATAGAAGAGAACATTGGTTTCAGCAATATCTTTAAAAGCCACTGTTAAGATTTGAATGTAAAACTGGGGGGGGGGGCACCTTATCTAAGATTAGGAGTACATGTAAAGAAGATGTACATTGCCAAAAAACAACAAATAAGAATCTCAGTATTTCAAAAGCAGTTAATTGTGAGAAAAAGATTAAATTAATAAAGCTAAAAGGTTATTGTCACTCTTCCTAAAAAAAATTCTGTTCTAGATCAGGTGGTCATAAAGGAAATGAGAATTCTATAGAAAAATGTTTCAAACTTTGGGTTTTACACTAGAGAATTCGGATTTAAATCTAAACTGAAAAAGAACTTTTACACATTTACTTTGACTGATACTGCAATTGGAGTGGCTTCTTTTCTCCTGCTCCTCAGTGGCAGCATGTACTGTGTTCCCTTTGCAACAGGGAAGTCTCTTCTGCCACATCCTTGCCCTGTGCCATCTCTCAAGAGGGCAGAGTCTTGGGAAATTTGCTTATGGTGCAAACATGCTAGTATGGGACCAAAACAGAAAGAATCCTACCACTGCTGGGGCATCAGCTCAGGAGATGGTTTAGGAATATGGATTTTGGTTCAGCAATTGCAAATAAGTTTAGAGCTACTACAAAAAAACCTTTCCTAAATAGTCTGTTTTCACTCATTATTGATTTATTGCATTTTACCCCATCCTTTCCTGAAGAAGCTTAGCACAAAATTCATAATCATTCCCTGTGCCAGTTAATTTCCACAGTAACTTTGTGAGACCTTTGGGTAGAGTGGGTGGCATATAAGTTAAATAAAATAAAATAAAATAAAATAAATTAACTGGGAAAAGAGGGAGTTGGCCTGAGAAATCCATACTTCCTGGCCTGGGCAAAAATATACCAGAGATTTATCATGTGTTTAGTTCATGATTTCATAGTGGTCATCTGGAAATCAACATAGTGCAGTTCATGCATGTGGATGCAAATGTGTTTATTTTGTAATGTTTTTCTCTCAGAAATCAATAATTGATTCTTTCTTACCAAATAAAAATAGAATTATGTATCTAAACTCCAAATTTCCTAAATAGAAAATTCAGAACTGGCACACTCACTGTTTTGTTTTTATTTAGGAAGAAGAATATCTGAAATTTCAGAGATCTTGAATTCCATAATACTTCATTTTGTTTAATGTATTTTTAGCAAACAATGGCTGGAATCCAGTTTGTTGTCATGTAAAATTATGCAGGCATAACTAGGTAGTGCAGATTGTATAATTTGACTGTGCAGTTGGTCACATGATTCTTATCATCACATACTGCATAGTGGGCTGGCAAAAGTATTACAGATAGCACACCTTGATACTATAACTACTGTTAGTGTAACATTAAATTATGCCCACATAGCTGCACAACAGGATTTCAGTCATTATGTCAAGAATTGACTATACTTGAACATTTTGTTGGTGTAGATATTGAAAGTTTTAGTATTTCCCCTATACTCTGGGAAGTCACTAATTTTTCAATTAAAAATGTGATGTTGCTTTCCAATTTTAAATCTTCTAAAAACTCATTTAAGGCTTCTGGTTGGTGTGTGTGTGGTCCTTAAAGTGTTGAAGTGTTTAAAAAGTGATTCATACAAACCTTCAGGCTGGTGACAGGGAGGGGTAGATATGGTGCTGGAAGAATCGTTGGCTGTTTCAGGAGAAACTGGGGTCAGTATTTGGTTTTGTTTCTGGGTTCTAACGTTGCCTTTCACTGGACAGGTATCCAGATGACAGGTGTCCATTCAGTCCATTGCCTTCCACTTTGTCTCTTTCGTTGTTGAATGCCAGGTCTGTCCAAAATTAGTTCGAACTGATTGCTGATTTGATTGTGGATGAAAGGACTGACCTGGCATGCATAACAGAGACCTGGGTGAATGCAGAGGGAGGGGAAGTTCTCTCCCAGATCTTCTTCCATCCAACATCAGGGCAGATTGGAGGGCCAGGGAGGTGGTGTTGCCATTGTATTTAAAAAACCATCAAGGTTAGCAGAACGTCTGGCCTGCATGCCCTGGCCTTGAGCCTCCATTAGTTTGTGGACCATGGGGACAGTTTAGGGATAGCATTGGTATACCAATCTACCCATGACCTAGTGTTGTCCCTGCCAAGGCTGACAGACTTTGTCTCCCTGGCGCTGTTGTGGTCCCCGAGGCTTATACTTCTGGGTGGCTTCAACATACATGCGGAGGCTCTAGTTGCTGGTTTGGCCTCCGACTTCATGGATTCCATGACATCCATGGGGCTGTCCCAACAGATGAGTGGTCCCACACATGTGAGGGGTCATACACTCCACTTGGTTTTTTTTGCTGGTCAGGGAGAGCATGATCTGAAGGTGACTAGGTTTTCTTCATGCACCCTGTCGTGGTTAGATCATAGGTTCGCCATCACGGGCTTAGGACCTTGCTACCCATCAGAGAACCTCTCCTTCAGGTCATTCTCCCATCCCACCTGCATCGCCCCATGCTTGATGCTGTGGGTGGCCACTCTGAGAGAGCCCCGGAAGCGATCAACTAGAAACTGGGCCTTCTTGGTAGTGGCTGCTTCTCCTCTTGAACTTCCTCCCTGTGGAGGTGCGATTGGCCCCCACCCTCCTGAGCTTCTGAAAGCAAGTGAAAACCTGGATTTCACCAGGCCTTTACAAACCTCACCCCTTTGTAACATTAATTTTGTAGAGAGTTTATGCTGGCCCATGGTTCACCAAGGTTTTTTTTAGTTTCATTTTTAAATTGCTGTATATTATTTTTATTTCTTGGAAGTCACCCAGAGGTAGTGGCTTGTCTTTTTAATGGGCAAGGTATAAGTTTAAACAAACAAATAAATGTGACAACATGGGTTAAATTCAGTTCCCAGGTATTGAATTCAGACCTACCACTTGCAAGAAATGCAGTAGTTTAGTCAAGTATAATTAAAACATTTCCACAGCTAGACATAACTTCGGAAAGAACTATTTGCACAAATACATCATATTACTGTCCTTGTCCTTCATTATATCATATTGTTTCTTATTTAATTTGTTTTTGTAGTGAATGGAGCGCAATAGAGAAAGAGATGGGGGATGGGCTGCAAAGTGCTGGTCATCACATGGATGTGTAAGTACTGACTATCTGAGAGTTGATGCAAGCCAGATGGATTCATTAACAAGGGGAGGGGATAAGAAAACTTAGTTTTGAGAAAATGGTGTATTAAAGAATAGCACTGAAAGGCCTGCAACATTCCATTGGCTTTTACTTTACAGTTGTTTTATAATCCATTGCATTAAGTAACACAAAGAGGCCCTTGGAATTTTTTATTATTATTATTATTTTGAAACCGTGGAATTAGTTGACACCATCCCAGTATTTCCTTTAAGATACTAAGGCAGAAACTGATAGAATAAAACCAAATCTACTTCAGACCTGATGTTCTTCATTTGTTTGATAGCAGTGAATTTGCACTATTCATAGGCATGATGCAAATTTTTAACTTTTGCTTTTAAAGGTCCCATCAGCTCAGTGCCTGAATTGGAGTGGAGCATGTTCTATGAGTCATCTAATTTCTTAGACATTCTGTTGGCTGAGCCTGTCAAGTCTACATTGTTTCCCATTGCTCCGCTTCTTTTGCTTCTTTATGGGCAGAGAGCTTTATCCAGAAACACCTTCTTGTTGCTTTAAGGGTGGAGGGAAGTCTTTGAGTTTTCCTAGGGAGAGAGTAGCCATTTGACTTTCTAAAAATAACAGTGATAGATTGGCTAATTTTAGAAAAAGGTAACTCCCAATATCATATACAGTGGTGCTTCGCTTGACGATTACCTCATTAGATGAGGAAATCGCTTGGCGATGAAGTTTTTGCGATTGTTTTTGTGATTGGAAAACCATGTTTTAATAGGCAAAAATTGCTTAACGACGATCGGTTCCCTGTTTCGGGAACTGATTTTTCGCTTAACGACGATCTTTACAGCTGATCGTCAGGTCTTCAAAATGGCCGCCCGCTGTTTAAAATGGCTCCTCCCTGTGTTTTAGGGCGGGTTCCTCGCTTTACAGGCACCAAAAATGGCCACTCTATGGAGGATCTTCGCTGGATGCTGAGGTATTTTGCCCATTGGAATGCATTCAACCGGTTTTCAATGCATTTCAATGGGCTTTTTCGCTTCGCTTGACGAGGATTTTGCTTAACAGCTATTTGAACGGAACAAATTATCCTCATCAAGCGAGGCACCACTGTATTGGTTATTATAAGTGAGGAGGTTGACATGGTTGTGTTGTCAGGGGCTGCCCTTTGTGGACAGTGTCTATTTGCTCTAATGAACCAGCCTCTGTTGCAGGAAAGAAAACTAGTTGTCAAGAAGTCACAGCTTACCTATCCAAGTTCATATCTGTATTGTTTTACCAACTATCTGATCCTCCATTCCAAGGACTGTAGTTTTCAAATAGAGATGGGATATTTGTATTCGTCTCCCTTGGGAGACAAATATGAATATTGCCACCATAGGTGGCTGGGCCCTTTCAAGCCCGAAACCAGCTGGGCCACTTACCACTTGTGTGTGCGGCCGTCGTAGTCTGCAGTGTGTCAAGCATGGAAGTAGCCTGGATGGGTCTTCCCCACCTCCTTGCACTGCTGACCTCTCAGTAGCTGAGTGGGGAGACTCATCATTCCACCCCTCACTGAACTGGTCAGCAGCCCAGGGAGGTGAGGAAGTGTCAGCCGGGCTACTTCCGTGATTGGTGCAGTGTAGATGATGACAGCCCCGTGCTCCACAAGTGGTAAGTGGACCAGCCAATTCCAGGGGGAGGGTCGAAAAGGCCTGGCTACCTATGGTGCCAATTTTTATGTTCGTCTCCCCCAGGAGAGAAATACAAATATCCCATCTCTATTTTCAAAAGAAAATCTTCAGTGTTTTCAGTATTTTGCTTCTTGGAAGACACCTGGGAAGATTTTTATAATTGCTAGATACTTTCACTGTACTAAAGGTCTTTAATTCATATGTGATCAATAAGCAACCAACCACAACACTTCTGTGTCTTCTCGGCTCTTTAGACAAATAACTTTGTAGATACTGAATTTAAAAAGTTGTTTCCTCTTCTTTTTGTAGCTGCTTGTTTGACATTTTTAGAAGAGTAACCATAAATGACTGTAATCATTCTGCTTGGCCCTCCCTTGCAATAAACTGCCTATTTAAAATAGGAAACATTAATCTAATACATGAGATACCATTTTATTGCAGCAATGATTTGAAAGCTTTCAGGAGGGATAGTTTGCATATATTTTTCTGTTTGTTTGTCATCACAGTTTAAACTAAATTTAGCCCTTGACTGGAATGTCCTGATCGTTCGACACTGGTCAGGTTTGGGGAACTTAGTTTATTATTTGTCATCCTTTACTATTAGGTATGCAGCTTCTATTGATGACATACTAGAGGAGGAGGAACATTACGCAGACCAGCTCAAAGAATATCTCTTCTATGCAGAAGCCCTTCGGTAAGCACAGTGGCACATTTATTGTTCTTCTTTGTGGTCTCTGGGAATCACACAAGTGGGTGTTTCTTCACCTGTGCAAAACTCGGGACATTCTAGGGTTCAAAGCAAAAAGACTGTTAGGGCCGCCCGCCTCCACTGCACCTGTCTCTGCATGTAGTGGCAATGGGAATTTACCAAAATCATGCACAAGTCCAAGAAGTTGTCCACCAGGCATAGCTAAAGATATAAATGGCAGAGGTTCTCTTCCTTTGCTCATTTGATCTGGAAGTTTGACCTCCAACCTTTTTTGCATATAGTGCTGCGTTTTCTCCTCCACCTGAAAGAGAATGGTCTATCCCATTGCTCCATCTAGGTGTGTTTGTCCACCGTAGTGGCAAAAGAGCTTCCGGGCTCCAAAGAGTCACAGTAGTTCAGAAATTCAACTCTCAAAAGGTTCCTGCAGAGTTTGCAGAATGTCTTTCCAGATGTGTGAACTCTACTGCCACAGTTGTCACTTTTGGTAATGCTTAAACAACTTATAAAATCACTCTTGAGTTGCTGGCTACGACAGACCAGACTTTTTACCTATAAAACCGCCTTCCTGATAGACATCACTTTGGCACGTAGTACAAGTATGTTGTGCACCTTTTAGCACAACCTACTTTTCCTATAGTTTTATAAGGATAAAGTTACTGTTTTTCCTGACATGCCCTTTCTATGTAAGGTGGTGTCAGACTTTCACTTCTATCAGCCTTTGATTCTCCCAGCTTTCTTTCCATCACCTATGATGAAATTAGGGAAAGTCCTTCATATATTGGGCATCTATAGAGCTTTAACCTTCTGTACCTCTAGAACCAAACACTTCCGAAAACCCAACAGATTATTTGCTATCTATCAAAGTCCAAAGATGGGTGAGCAAATCACTCTCCAGCAATTATTGAAATGGCTTGTAAACACAGTTATCTTACCAGCTAGCAAAGAGACCAGTCCCTGACTCTTTGAAAAGGCATTCTACCAGGGCTATTATAGCTTCTGCAACCTTTCTGAGAATTATACAGGTAAGAGATATTTGCAAAGCAGCAACATAGGCTCAGCCTTCAATGTTCATCAGACATCATTGGTTGGACACAAGAGCCAAACTCGATGTTGCATTTGGAAAAGTAGTCATTTCATCTTCATTAGTATGACATCCCATCAACTGGTAAGTGAGCTTGTCAGTCACCCACATAGAATCTTAGAATGATAGAGTTGGAAGGGGCCCATAAGGCTGTTGAGGCCAACCCCCTGCTTAATGCAGGAATCCAAATCAAAGACAGATGGTTTACCAGTTTTCACTTGAATGCCTCCAATGTTGGAGCACTCACCACCTCCCAAGATAATTGTTTCTATTGTACTTCTCTTAACAGTTAAGAAGTCTTTCCTGATATTCAGCAGACATCTGGCTTCCTTAAGCTCATTATTATGTGTCCTGCACTCTGGGATGATTGAGAATAGATCCTTCCCCTCTTCCATATGACTATTTTTCAAGTATTTGAAAAGTGTGGGATTCACAGAGACCATGAAGGAGAAGAACAGGTTACATACTTGTAAATGTGGTCTTTCAAGTGGTTATCTGTGAATTCACATAACTTACCCATCCTCCTCTCAGCTTGCCACACTGCTGTTCACTCATGGCAGTGGCGGACATGGGGAACCAAGGGATAACTGCTAGGTGCAGAAACATGCAGTGGAGGGGGTCTGCCCTAATTATCTCTTTGCTTTGAGCTCTAGAATGTTCAGATGAGTTTTGCACAGGTGTAGAAACATGTATATGTGTAAATTCACAGGTAAACACAGTTACAGGTAAGTAGCCTGTTCATATACTGATTATGCTTAAACACTGCAGTACATCTCAGTTGTAAACAATTTATGAAAGGAAATAGTCAGCGAAGAGCTTGCTTTTCCTTGGAGTGTTTGGACAAATTATTATATGGTAGCCCTGCCTTCTGACTTCTGTGTAACAGAATAACACTGGTGACTCCCTTAATTATGGTGTTATGAAAGATAAATTGTTTACTTTGGGTCCTTTCAAGGAGAAAGGCAGCATTTTAAAAAAATAAATAAATACCTATCCTCAGATTTTATAGTAGGATCAACAGTGTCAAGGTCAAATTATGCTCTTCTCTGTGTTGGACAGTCTTTGACTCATGTTTTCATATGTCAGAATACTTAAAGATGTTTGAAACTCTGGAATTCTTGGCATTGTCACAATTTTTAGAGATCTTTATCTGTAGATCTCAAATCTAGTGCATGTATCATTCCAATTTGTGTAAAAACCTGTATGTTTATATGACTTTCTTTAAAAGTGGAGATCTCATGTGCATGCCCAAATCCTTGTAGCTGTGCAGGAAGCTGAACTTCAGCATGACATGCTGACTAGAAATCTGCAAACAACTAATTTATAAATATCATCCTAGAAGCAGGATGTGTCTTTCCATATGGAAATGGTATCTAAACGTCACTCAGAAAGCTGAAACTGGAATGTTTTCCCACCTAAACCCTGCCATGCAAAGTTCCTTTTCATAATGGCTAGCCACATTTCCATAAAAGATCAAATATAAGATGGGTTCACTCTATAAAAGAAGCCACAGTCTTGAGTTTGCAAGAGCTGAGTAGTGTTGTAAATGATCAGATATTTTAGAGGTTATTAATTCATACAGTGGTGCCTCGATTTATGACCATAATCCATTCCAGAAGATGGACGTAACTCGAAATGGTCGTAAGTCGAAGCACCATTTCTCATAGGAATGCATTGAAATGCAATTAATCTGTTCCGGCCTGAAGAAAAAAATAACCAAAAGAAAAAATCACTGCAAGACCCATCAGAAACAGGATTAATCTCTCCCGGCCAAAGGTGAAAAGAAAGAGAAAAGCAACCAAGCGTACAAGACCAATCAGAAATGCAAAGAAAAAGGAAAAAGCAAAGGGAGCACATCGGAAATGCAAAGAAAACAAAGCAAAAAGCAAGGGAAGCATGCAAAACCCATCGGAAATGGGGAACCCCCCCCAAAAAAGCAACCAAACCCCACAAGACCCATCGGAAATGGGGAGACAAAAAAACAAACCCCCAAGAGCCATCAGAAATGTGGAAAAAGACTCTAAAAAGCAACTAGCCCCCCTAGACCCACTGGAAATAGGTGAAAAACCAACAAACCCCACAAGACCCATCACAGCACAGAAGCATAGCCCCCTCCAGCCCAAAACCATGCTGCAAACCCCACCCAGAGCAGTTTTTAAAAAGCAGAAAGCAGCACCTTACCTTACCAGGCAGTCCGAAACCTCCTCCAAACGCACACACTCTAACTGCTGGGGCAAAAGAACTACAAAGAAGCAGCCTCTTTGCCACCTACAGTTAGCAATTTGAATTTCCCGCCTTTTTCCCTGCCTTTTTGTATTCGTAACTGGAAGCTCTGGCTGCAAGTTGAAGCAAAATTTTGTGGCTGGAGCTGGTCGTAACTCGGGACGTTTGTAAGTCGAGGCACCATTGTAGTTGCCATAGGTTGGAGACAAGTTGACAGTTCATAGCAGTAACAACTGCAACAGCATTCCATAGACAGTGAGTTGAGCTATGCAAGAGATAAGAGTGCTGGCCTAAGAGTTTCATTGCCTCTTCACATCCTTCAGTTAGGAGAAAGGGACCAGTTATATGTGGGCTGAAATCCTGTTGCAAGACGTTACTCATGTAAGGCTGATGGTTTCATTAGCTGCAGTGATTTTTGGTAAATAAAAAATTCAGATTCCATCCACATACCCCAGGAATGATTTTAGTAGTGGAGATTTTTTAAAAACTAGCCTCTCTATCCCACAGCACCCAACCACTTTCCTTACAAAAAAAGGGGGGGGGTTACATGGGAACCTTGGGATCTTGAGGAAAGGAGAATTTGACATTTTTTATTTCTGGAAAATTGTTGTAGCTGATGACATCATCAGCCTTACGTGGTATAAGTATTTCCTTGTTTTTTCTATCTAGCCTGGGGACTTTCCATATTGAAAATTCTTCACCTGCACTTTATATTGCTGGAATGAAAGCCCATATTTTATTTTTGCTGCAAATTTTAGTGAATTTGGAGAGAGATACAGAATGGCTTAGTGCAGTATGGAGATAAGAACTTTCAATGTGTCACATTAATTGTATCAAAATGACGTTAATGATAGTGAGGTTAATATAGTCACTCTAGGTACATTTGATGGCAATGAAATCTCTGTAAAAGTGCATCTATATTTTTGAAAAATCATAATGAGATTGTTTAATATGAAGTTAAGATCAGGCTTTTACAAATGAAATAAGCTTTTATTGTTTTCAGGGCAGTTTGCAGGAAACATGAACTTTTGCAGTATGAGTTGGAAATGGCTGCTCAAGATTTGACATCAAAGAAGCAGCAGTGTGAGGAACTGGCAACAGGAGTAAGTCTGATGTTATTTTTCCTCACTTTCTTCTCCAAGATCTAGAATTAGAGCCAAGTTCTCAACTTAAATGACATTAATGTATAGCTTGCAGACAGGAGGCTTATGGAGAATCTTTTGCAAATTTTGCATCTTACCTATTTATTCTGTGTTTGATTTATGTTTGTCCATGTGGTAGACATAAATGTCTTGAACGAAAGAATATGTTCCATGCTTCTGGATAAAGTGAATTTTTTGAACTTGGAGAGACACTAGTAGAAAAGAAGGAGAAGAACCTTTCCTTTACAAACATTTTAAAAGATTATTCTTCAGCCTTACTTATTCTGGAGCTAGGAAGATACCCAATGAACTTGGGTAAGCAGAAGAACTGAAATCCTCAGGCAATAATTAAATAGAACTACAAAAAAGTGAGTTAGGATAGCTATGCCATGCACTACAGTACATACTTATCCACTGAGCACAACCATTTTATGAATGGTACTTTTTGTCAGTGTACACACGGACAGAAATTAAACACCTGATTAGAACAAAAAGAAAGGAGCATTTTGGTTAGAAATGTATCAGCACTTTTCAAAGTCTTTTATGGAACCGATGAATGTTGAGGAACACAGAAGAGGGTGAGATGAACCATATGAAGTGTAAAGTATCTTGTTGTCTTATCCATTCCACCTGATAAGGAAGCCTGATGCTTCTATCTCCTGGACCAGAAAACCTACTTGGGTGTTGTGCTAAGACTCAAAATAGCTAACCAACAGTCCTACTTTGGATGATACCAACTGTTCCTTTGTGAAAAACTGGTTTGTCTAATGAAGGACCTGCCCCATGATAAGGAGGAAGTTGTGGTTGTCTTTTTCAAATAAACCAGCAGTGTTTACCTCTCACATCTGTCAAAGAAGTCCTGTAGGTAGGAGGTGTCAGTGGTGGAACTAGATATTGGGAGGGACCTGGCAGGCCTTACAGAACTCATACCATTGGGGAATCAGGAAGCAGATGAGGGGTGCAGAGTCTGATTCTAAGAAGTTTGGACCCCAGCCAGTCCATGAGAATTGTTCAGAGTAAAGATAGGAGCTTGAAGGGGTGCCACCAGGTGAAGTGCCAGGCTGCAGAGAAAGACTCCTTGGAAGAAAGACCCTCCTGGGCAATATTCTTGGAAGAAAACTCTTCCTGCCAGAGAGACCAGTGGGCTAAACTCTGCAGCTAAAATCTCAGTAGGCCAAAGATTTGCAACTGAATGCTGGATACAGATCAATTCATCTTTGCATCCAGGCTTGTGTCCCCCATCTAGATGCTTGGCAGACCATCATTTGAATTGATGGATCTTCCTATTGTTCAGTGGAGCTACTGGATAGAATTCTACAATCTTCCTCCAGAAGGAGTGTTTTGCTCCCCTGTACCTTCAACAGCTCTACTCCAAAAGACTCTCACCCACGTGGAAAGGAAGCAGTGAACCAGTGCCCACATCTGCATCTTGTCGGCTACTATTTTCGATACTTTACAGTACCAAAATGGAATGGGGGTCTTTAACCTACTATTAACCTAGCTTTTCAATATGATGATGATCTGTTGGAAGACAAATCGTTCACCATGATGAATTCTAAATATGTTTATTTTCATATTGCCATTCACAGAAGCATTACATAGAGAACATTGTTAAACGATGGGGGAAATTCCTCAAAGAAACCCATCGCTGTGTGAATTTGTCGTTGTATGAAGCAATCATTGTGCGAGGGACCACTGTACCTCTGCATTGACCATTACCAATATCGGTTTCTTCCCTTTTTATTTTGATCTATGCTACTCTTCTTGCTGAAATTCTTTCAGAGATCAGAAAGTTCCTACATGGTGCCGTACAGCAATTATCTTGTAGTCCACCTTTTAGTCTCTCCATAGTCCTCGTGTAACTCATGAAGCCATCTTTCAAGCTCACTGCCTCTTTGGACCTCCTTCTTGGCCAAAGGAGCCTTTGCTACAGCATGCCATGTGGGAGAATTCTGTGTATTGCTAATGAACCAGCCATGTTTAGTTTTGTAAATAAACAAGGTTTCCTTCAATGTGAGCTTTCATTCTTAGTAAATGTAGTCTTGGTCTTTCAGAAGACACTTTTTGTCTCATCTACAACACAATTAAGTATTTTTGCATGCACTAAATGCTGAAAGAGTTTCAGAAAAATATGTAGAATGAATAGTTGTATTTTGTAAATAGTGGCTCCTTCTCGCTCCCTCTGGCCCTAAGAAGGGAAATTCAGTTTTCTCACAACACTTTGAGAGGCAGTTTGTGAAAACAATCACACTGGCATATCAAATGGAAAGATTCCATTGCCAGTTATTCCATCAGGGCTATGTCCATGTCCACTGGCTAGCTGCAGAGTTTCCTTATCTGACTGTCATGCAGTGACTTGGTTTCAACTGTTCACCTTCATCCATCACTGGTGGCTTGATGCCAAATCTTGGAGGGATGCCTCTTGGAACAGCAGTCCTCTGGGCTGTTCTCCAATGAGTGAAGTATTCCCTTGCAGGTAAACTTGCTAAACCTGGACTCCCTTGCAGGTAAAGTTGCTAATCTTCACACATTTGTGCCGTTGCATACCGACTACAAAGAGGTAAAACAGGTTATTTCTTTGAAACATTTCTTCTTGAAGCAAACATCTGTGTAATCACATGATCTGGCCTTCCGCCCCTCTTCTGTACCTGTCATTAGCTGATACTCTGGTTCTGTGTCAAAAATTTTTGAATTTGGAGACAACCTGCCAACATGTTTGCTGTAGATAGGAGAGGTGGAGCTGGGTGGGTAGGGTCAGGGCTGCCATCAGAACATTCCCTACCTAAAAGTTTCCAAAGAGTGGCTCTTTACAGGTACAGAGCACTATGTTTGAATCCACAGATTACTACTTGAAGAATAAACATTAAAGGCAAGTATCCTGTTTTTCCGGGTCAAAAGTATTTTAAAAAAAAGCGGCCAAAATTGTATTAGTTACACCTGCAAGCATAACATTTCAATATAAATCTCAGTAGTGAATTACTGCAAATTAAGATGTTACTGTATGCATTCAGTGTTGCATGCCTGATTGCACAATTTGGTACATAACAAATGATATATATACTAACTTCTTCTGGCAAATGGCTGCCAAGATCTGTTCAGATTGCGTAACTCAGGTGTAAAATGCAATTGGATTTTGGCTTGTGTAAACAAGTCCATTGAAAAAAGGATACAGTGGTACTCCGCATAACGACGATATCCGTTCCGGATAAATCGTCGCTATCCGGAAACATCGCTATGCAAAATAAAAAAAGCCGTAGGAATGCATCAAAATGCATTTAATGCGTTCCTATGGGCTTAAAAACTCACCTTATGCGAAAATCCTCCATAGGGGCGGCCATTTTCGGTGCCTCTAAAGCGAGGCAACACAGCGGGCGGCCATTTTGGAATCCCCAGTCAGCTGTGCGAAAATGGGGCCTTTGGGAGGACTGTGGGGGAGGGCTCCCCCACGGTCCTCCCAAAGCCCCCGCCGGCTATTTTCCCCCAGCTGGCCGGCGGGAGCTTCGGAAGGACTGTGGGGGAGGGATCCCCCGCGGTACTTCCCAAGCCCCCACCAGTCAGCTGGGGGAAAATGGGGCGTATGGGGAAAAATCGCAAAGTGATTTTTCCCCATAGGGAACATCGCAATGCGATCGCAAAATCCACATCGCTATGCGGATTCGTCGTTAAACGGGGCGCCCGTTAAGCGAGGCACCACTGTACTTATCATCAGATATATTTTAGTGAGTTTTGTGTCCAAAGTCTTTCTGAAGTTTAGTTATTGGTCTGTTTCTGATTGTCCTCTGAACCATTCTTTGGAGGATTAAAAATGATTTGGGCTTGTGCTTTTTCTTCTTTGTTGCTCCCTGCTTCTCATATCTGGTTCTGGTTAGAATGACTAAATCTTGCTATGATGAGTGGCCCATAAATTGAGTAAGCAGGATATGAAGAGATGGGGATGGCAAGGACGGAATCTGTAAACTTGCGGCATACACTTGCTCCTCGTAACCATGTTTTGGATAACTATACAACTATAGTGTAGTAATTAAGAGTCTCAGACTAGGATAAGCGAGACCCACACACCCATAAAACTTACTTTATTGTCCTTGGGTCAGTCATATGCATATATATACTGATCTACTTCACAGGGAAGTTGCATGGAAATTGGTGGAGCATGTATGCCAACTGGGAGAGAAACAAAACATTTTTAAAGCTTACAAATGTGTCATATAAGCTTGTCCCATCCATGTATTTAGGCATTGTGTTTTCTTGGAGGACAATAAAATAGTTAAATATATACGTGCATGCATACATATATATATATATACTGTATTCATTTCCAGACTGTGAGAACATTCTCCTTGAAGGGAATGACTAACAAGCTGTTCGGCCAGGAAACACCTGAACAGAGAGAAGCAAAAATAAAGGCGCTAGAAGAACAAATACATGAAGGAGAAGAGCAGCTCAAAGCAAAGAACTTAGAGAGCCGGTAACTTGATGAAAATATTATTAAGGTCATGGGGATTCTGTGTTAGAAGTCTTTAGGAAATTTGAACATGCCTCCTGCCTGTACAGATGTTAAGTAGACATAGTCTAAATCCTTCCAAACATATTTTTGCAAAGACAAGGAAATTTTGCTTCCCTTAAATTTGCAAGCTGAAATGCTTAGGAAACTGAATGTGGAATTATAGCTTAATTCTTCAACGACTGCTTAGGAAACTGAATGTGGAATTATAGCGTAATTCTTCAACGAAGTCCAACCAGTCTTCTGGCAGGCCTTCCCCCCTCCCATTACATAGCTTCTTTTCCATCTTGGATCCTGTTTTCTTTATCAATATTTTGCTCTTATGATCAAAGTTATTTTAATGCTGTTTTTATCTTTATGCTCTGTAAGCCGCCCAGAGTAGATTCCCGAAACTAGATGGGCGGGGTAAAAATGAAACAAATGAACAAATAAATAAATAAATCTGTGACACTGAGAAATACATTAAATTATGAGTTTGTTGGTATTTTCCTTCTGCCATATGAATTAGTGGTAAATTGGCCCCAGTAGAGCCAAATATAGAAATTGAGCTGATAGTTTTGATGTACTATTAAATTGACAAATACACAACTGGAATTAATAGGCTGAGGATGGCAGGCATCCTGAAACATTCGTGTGAGGGGAGGGGATAATAGAATAATTGTTGAACTCCAGTGGAATATTTTCTCCCTTGAAGGATAAGTGATTTTGTCATTCCCCTCCTCATTTTTATTCATATTAATTAATAATGAAAATATTAATTGGGCTGAAATTTGGATTAGCAGCTGCTCACTCTAGAAATTTTTTTTTTAAACTGTCTGGTCCTTATATAATACAAATGCGAGAGCAGGCAATATCTTTATTGTACCATTAACAAAACCAGACAACTGACTTTTGACGATAAGTCATATTCTTGAGGTTGTGCACTGAGATTTTCTGAGTAGTGCAGATGACGGCCCCCAAAATTAATGTCAGATGATTGTGCCAGATCTGCATCTAACTAGGTAACGCTTATTTTGCCTTCCATTGGCTTCTACTAGTAGGTAGGCTAAATTTTAAATTCAAATTCTCTAATGTTGGCTTGCTACATTTCTGTGTTAACTTTTCCATCGGCCAAGCAGGAAACTTGTTTCAAAATAAGGCAATTGGGGTGTGGGGGTAAATGCATGTTATTTGGTGGTTCTTTGTTTGAAAACTTGGAAAAATAAATCCAGCCAAATGCTACTGGGGTGAATTTAAAACCACTCCCTGAATGACATTTGCAGCCTGCATTTTAACTCACCTTAAGGAAGCTAGTTGTTCCTTTGATTTTTAAGTGGTCTAACAAAGGTATCACTTACTCCTATGTTTGTGGCTGTAGAGAGAGATTACTCCTGCCTTTTTACCAGTAAGCAATCACATTTCATTGATTCATATCTGTTTTGGCACATTTTTGTGAACATTTTGACATAAAGTTATGAATGCAAAAGGAAGTGTTTACAGTTCACAAACAGCTACTTACAGTGTTCTCGTATTGACTGGCTAGTAAAACTATCCCAGTCTTATCAGAAGGCAACAAATAAGGTGGAACTGACAAGAGGGGACTTTCAGAGACCTCCTTGTGGTAAGCATTACTTCTTTATTTTTTAAGCCTCTTCCTTCATATTTTTATATTTAAACAGTTTGTTTTAATTTCCCAGATTGATTAGGAAAGAAAACTTTGTTTGCACATTTCATGGTCTATAGGGATAAAATTTTGAAAGACTTAAGATTCCAAACAACAAGTTGCTAAAGCCTCCACTTCAGATTTTAGATTGGTTTTAAAAAAACACACACACATTCAAAAAGCAAAAAGTACAACCTCTTAAATATGGCTCCATATTACTGTTTACATATTACCTTTTGGGAGCTAGTTATTCATCTGGTAAATTTAGATAATTGGTAACATGGGCTTACATGATGATGCATACATTGTCTGCACTAATTTGGTTTCAATTTATTTCAGAGACTTTGTGAAAAGTGCCTGGGCAGATATTGAACGTTTCAAAGAGCAAAAGAACCATGACTTAAAAGAGGCTCTCATTAGCTATGCTGTGATGCAGATCAGTATGTGCAAAAAGGTGCGTTTGTTGGTCAAGTTCTTTTAACAGGGAACCAAATGTGTGAATGTCACATGTGAGTGGGTCGATCCCCAGAAAGAATCAGGATGTTTCTGCCTGCATTCCAACATAGGCTACCCATCCATGTATGTTTTCTGAACATGAGAAATATTCTGTTCACATTTAATTGTTTAGAAGGTGTCGTGTGGTAAATACAAAATTTCTTCATTGTGATTAATTATGGGTTGTTGCCAGTTGATTTTACCTTACTTAAAGGCTCACTTCAAACACATTTTCATTTTTCTATTTCTTTTTTCAATAAAGGGAATTCAAGTTTGGACGAATGCAAAAGAATGTTTCAGCAAGATGTGACACATGGAGCTCAGTCCTTCTTGGCAAAATGTCACAGAACAGAAGCACAAATGCATGAACATGGATACAAAATTGCTGCATTACTAAATCATGGACTCAGTGTAGTCATGAAAGTAGGGCACAAGAATTGGTCTCTGCTCCTCGATGGCCACCTTGTGGCTTGTTTTGCATGTAGTAGCAAATTGAACATTGTAGTTTGCGCTTGAAGTAAGGGTATAGGGAAGATCCAAGTTGGCTGCAGTCATTACATAAACTAAACTGTTCACCATACCAGGCTCTTGAACCACAGTTTTTTGCACTATGTAAATCATTCCCAGGTACCTCTTCTTACATTGTTTCACATTTTAATGCTATAACATAAAATAACGTGGACTTGTCTTATTTTCTGAATATAGTGGTACAGAATTATATTCAGTGTTTCACTGTATCCATAAATGCCACATGCAGTGTGTTATCTGATGAGTATTTTTTTCCAAAAATTAGCTTTAGCTTCATAACAAATTTTTGAATGTTGAATGCATTATATATAACAGGGGGGTTCTGTACAGTAAAATATAATTATTCTGTGCAAAATTTAAAACTGATGGGAAACCATTATAGAATTCTGCTATTTGCCAGCATGCTGCTGCATAATTAGCAAGCAGATAGTACAGTTACTGACCTCAGTAAAAAAGCATAACACCAGCTTTAAATTCACTTAACAACCTCCATTAGGTTAAAAGTAGTTGGTACTGCATTGGTAGTTCTTCTTTAAAATGATTATGCTAAACATTAAAATGTACTCTTTTTGAATACTAATAATGGTGGCTTCCCAAAGAACACTATTAATTTGAAGTAGTTTTGCTTTGCATGCTTAGCATCCCTAAATGTAAACTGTATTTACTTGTCTTTGCCTTGATCTTGTTTACTGTACTTTTCTCAAGGTTTTTTTAAGGGAACTGAATAGAATGAATTTGTAGGTGTCCTCTGGTACACTGTGTACAAAAGAAAGTCTCTTGCTAATCTTAAGACATTGATTTCCAGCTGTAAGAAAGCTCTAATGCTCATTGGTCACTTCAACATAGCAGCATTTATATTGTCACTCAGGAGAATGTGAAAACAAGCCAGATATAACTGAAGCAAAGCCCCTCTGAGATATATAGTACACATTTGTAAAGCATGCACTTAATTATTTCAGATGATGAACACTTTATTAGTTTACATATATAGCAGAATGACATCTTAATATCCTTATTTCTCAAAATCAGATCTGTTTTCTTGCTGCAATCATAAAACAAAGTTTTATAAAACAAAACATTTTCAGCTAAGCTGATATAATTTTGACTTTTTAAAGCTTATTATCCAGTGTTAAGTATAGGGTTTTTGTTGTTGTTTCAAGAAACAATCTATTCAGCATAAAATAGCTATACGTAGCTCTATCAGGTCATTCCATTTCAGAGAGCTATAGCTTCTGGGTCCTAAAACTGATAAAATAAAAACTTGTACATTCCAGAAACAGTAAGCAGCTATGAAGTCAGGTTTTTATAGCAAACTTCCTAGAGTAGTTGTGCCTTAATTTAATACCACTAGGCACTTGGAGTCAATATTTTCCCTGCACTTGATCTTCCTAGTGCCTTCCCTCCCCTTTCATAAGCTGTATAACTTAAGTGTATTAGTATGCCTTTTTGAGAAATTTGAGAAGGGATCAAAAGGTTCTTGTAAGCTTTGTGCCAAATATGCGAAATAAAACTACACTTTATTATTTTTTGTTTTCCACATTTATTTTGGACTGCTGTGATATTAAAATGGTTGTATGCTGTATTAGATTTTATTGTTAATACTCTGCATAAATTTTCTTTTTAAAAGATACATTCTCAAAGGATCGGGGTCTCAAATTCTGCATGCATGGGTGGAAATACAAATACACAGCTTTCTAAACATAAAAAGTGAGTGTTTTGCTTCTGTTAATTTCCATACATTCATTTTGCTCATGAGAAAAAATCTACAAGAGTTTAGATGTTGGTTGCGATAAGAAAAAAAAGGCAATGCAAAAACTAGAGAATGGAGAGGGGGAAAGTGCTACAACTCTATTTACTGGAGCATTCCAGAAACTTGTCACAGTGAATGATTACTTATTTTTCTTGTGAATGAGTTTTCTCCAAAGAAATAATACTTGAAACACATCCAACAAATTTTCTGGATTGCCTCTACAAGCAGGATTTTGGCATCTTCTGGAATTTACTTCTTTTCATTTATTTCATTACCATCTACATGTTGGGAACACAAGTCAAAATGAGTGGATGTTCCAAAACTTTCAGAAAGTGTGTCACCCCTTAGAGGCCTAGAGGTACAGTGGTACCTCGACTTACGAACCTCTCCACTTGCAAATGTTTCGAGTTACGAGCGGCTACGTTTGCAAAGTGTTGCTTCGATTTGCGAACGAAGCCTCAACTTGCGAACGAAAAAAACCCTTTTCTGCCTTTTTTGACCTAAATTCTCCCCCTAGTGGTAGAGTACAGATTAACTGGCTTTGCTTTAGTTCCTATGGGAACGAATGCCTCTACTTACGAACAGTGCCTCAACATATGAACGAAAAACGGCCTGAACGGATTAAATGGTTTTCAATGCATTCCTATGGGAAATCTTGCCTCGACTTACAAACTTTTCGACGTACGAATGCTGTTCCAATACAGATTAAGTTCGTAAGTCAAGGTACCACTGTATAGTTCTGTCAACATTTTCATTTCTTGCAGCGTACAGAAAATGCTGCCAGACACCATAAAGGCTTATTTTGTACATCAGAACCTCAGCATCTAGCATATAGCTATGGGACACTACAAGTGTGTGTGGATGGGTATCAATCACATAGTTATGCATAAATTTCTGTCAGTGAAAACAACAGATTAACAAAAAGTTTTTTGATGGGGGAACTATTAGCCGTAAATAATTCAGGGTTATGTATCAAAACATGTCTTGTGTGCCTATTAGAATGGACTGCCTGCAGAATGGACTGCTGACCTTCCAATATTTACGGGGAGTGCTATTGTACAAACAAGATTTTGCTTGCATGACATTGGATATAACATATTAGTTACTTTCATTACAGTGGGCAAATTCCTGTTGCATAACTGCTGGCGTAACCCAGACTGAATGCCAGAAACATGTAACTAAAACTAATTAAAAGCTTTTTATCCCCACCCATCCCTATTTTAGGTTCTAAGTCTCCCTAGAGCTCCACTTTGCTTTAGAGAAGCCTTGGGGAGCCTCAGAATATTGGGGGAGAGGAGGAGGGCTTTTAATAGTAAAAACTTCTTTGCTGGATCACCACTATGTGATTGGGACCACCAGCAGCAAATTTTTTACTTTTAGAGTCCATTCCCATCCCAAGACTTCCCCAGAGGAAGAGGGAGCCTTGGAACCTAAAATTGTGATGGCAGCAGGACAGGAAGTTTTACATTAGTTTTCTTTTGTTTCTGGAACCTGATCTGTGTTGTGCTGGCACAACATTATTTCAACAGGATTTGACCCAGTATAAACAAAGTTGTTTTGTATTTTAAATGTGTAAACACTCAGGTATGTTCTTCACTTTTTCAAGTGAATCCTTTAGTATTATATATGTAAACGTTGCATTTATAAGTTTTGTTTCAAGAAACTATGTGCATGCCACATTTATTTAGTAAACTAGCACAATTGAAAAGCATGAGGATTCTACTCAGTCATACTCCTCGAAAACAACAACACTGTTTTGTCTATTTCTCACAAGTCTGTTCCTTAACAAATACAGGAAGGGACTGCAGTTTAAGCAGATTATTCAGGTGATCAAAGATGTTGCTCTATTTTTCCAGCACATGTACTCTGTTAGTTGAACTTGTAGTGTCAGGAAGACTGAAAGTTTCACATCCACTTCAGTTTAGGACCTGTGAGTTGTAGCTATATCCATTGTCCAGGAGGTCTTTGGATCTATGATTTTCAAAGGGCCTATTCTGATATTCTGTTCTGATGGAGGTTAATATATGAATGAGAACACTCTAGACCAGGGGTCTCCAAACTTTTCACCGTGAGGGACACATATTTTCCACATTTTCAAGGGCCAAAGGAACAAGTGCCTGCCTGCACTCCCATCCGCACAGGCTGGATGTGGCCCATGGGCCATACTTTTGAGACCCCTGCTCTACACTTAGCCCCTCTGGTGAATTTTCCCTCCCAACAGGATGGTCTCCATTATCCATGGGTGTTCTCTGTGTTATTAAAAAACAGGTGAACCATTTTGTTCTCTGCACATTTAATATCCTCGTTGGTCATATACATTCCTCAACATAATGTACTGTACTGTATAGGATTTCTGTGATATTTTGTCATTCATAATGGGTTGGATCTACCTGTTGCTCCATGAGTGCAAGAACTGTTTTCAGTCCATGGAAGCAGCCTGTTCAGTTTTTTTAAGTGTTCTCTCATTTTTTTTCTGTACTAAGTTTCTGTCTTTTAACACAGAAAGCTGTATCAAAGGTTCTCTATAGTTTAGCAAAATTATTACTTCAGTGGTAAGAAGTACTAATGACCAGAAGGTGAAAATATTTCATATAAATTTAAAACTATATTTATTTGAACACTAAGTATCCCACTTCTGTGCTATTAAAATACTCATAAACGTCTATTTTTGCTCAATTCTTGTTTCATTGCTGTTGGCCTCAGAATTAAGGAGAATATTTTCAGCCACCATTTTGAAATTAGACCACATGTTATTCTACAACATTATGTTTTCACAAATGTGGGAATCATAAAATACCAGTTAGAGAGAAACACTTGGTTTATATGTATCTTGCACATGGTTTCTATACTAGTCCCTGATTGATAAGCATAACAAGTAAATGAGCGTTAGAGAACATTGATGTGTTTTCTGCGATACTGTTCTATTTTCTTTAGTTATAGTAGATGACAGTCAGGATTTAAACCAGACCTGTTCACATTACATATGACATAGTGGCCAGAATTTTAATGGTGTTTGCACAACTTGCTGTGACCAATCGCTGTTAACTGATGAGCTGAGTGGGTGCATCTCACTTGAATAATCAGGCACGTAATCAAACTGCCTGAGCAAGTTAGACATACTTTGCGCAAATACCAGTAGAATTCTGGCCAGCAAGGGATTTGCACAAACAGCCAAAATTATCTCCTAAAGCAGGGTTGAGAACCCTTGTCTCGAGACAGTTGCAACTACAATCATTGTCAAGCTAATCTCACATGGCCAATATAAGGGATTGTGGGAATTGCAGTCCCAAACATCTGGAAGGCAAAAGGTTCCTACCTTTCTACTAGGATAAAATGAGGTACCCAGTGTGCTGTAGCTGATCAAGTGATGGACGAGGACTCTGGAGACCAGGGTTCGAATCCCCAC